GTTGTGCTTCTGCATGTACAATGGAAGGATGACACAAACACACACACACACATCACCTGTATCATATATCGGTGCTTTTTTGTTTCTCAAGCGGACTTATATACTAGGAACAAGGACGCTACTAGGGGCTCCTGGCATCGCTACTAGGAGCAAGGACGCTACTAGGGGCTCCTGGCATCGCTACTAGGAGCAAGGACGCACTAGGGCTCCTAGCACGACTACTAGGAGCAAGGACGCTTGTAGGGGCTCCTGGCATCGCTACTAGGAGCAAGGACGCTACTAGGGGCTCCTGGCATCGCTACTAGAAGCAAGGACGCTACTAGGAGCTCCTGCCATCGCTACTAGGAGCAAGGACGCTACTAGGAGCTCGTGGCATCGCTACTAGGAGCAAGGACGCTACTAGGGGCTCCTGGCATCGCTACTAGGAGCAATTGACGCTACTAGGGGCTCCTGGCATCGCTACTAGGAGTAGGGAAGCTACCAGGGGCTCCTGGCCGTACTACTAGGAGCAAGGGCGCTACTAGGGGCTCCTGGCATCGCTACTAGGAGCAAGGACGCTACTAGGGGCTCCTGGCATCGCTACTAGGAGCAAGGACGCTACTAGGGGCTCCTGGCATCACTACTAGGAGCAAGGACGCCAGTAGGTGCTCCTGGCCGTACTACTAGGAGCAAGGACGCTACTAGGGGCTCCTGGCATCGCTACTAGGAGCAATTGACGCTACTAGGGGCTCCCTCCTGGCCGTACTACTAGGAGCAAGGGCGCTACTAGGGGCTCCTGGCATCGCTACTAGGAGCAAGGACGCTACTAGGGGCTCCTGGCATCGCTACTAGGAGCAAGGACGCTACTAGAGGCTCCTGGCATCGCTACTAGGAGCAAGGAAGCTACTAGGGGCTCGTGGCATCGCTACTAGGAGCAAGGACGCTACTAGGGGCTCCTGGCACCGCTACTAGGAGCAAGGACGCTACTAGGGGCTCCTGGCAAAGCTACTAGGAGCAAGGACGCTGCTAGGGCTCCTGGCATCGCTACTAGGAGCAATGACGCTACTAGGGGCTCCTGGCATCGCTACTAGGAGCAAGGACGCTACTAGGGGTCCTGGCATCGCTACTAGGAGCAATTGACGCTACTAGGGGCTCCTGGCAAAGCTACTAGGAGCAAGGACGCTGCTGGGGGGCTCCTGGCATCGCTACTAGGAGCAAGGACGCTGCTGTGGGCTCCTGCCATCGCTACTAGGAGCAAGGACGCTACTAGAGCTCCTAGGAGCAAGGATGCTTCTAGGGGCTCTTGGCATCGCTACTAGGAGCCAGGACGCTACCTGGCATCGCTACTAGGAGCAAGGACGCTACTAGGGGCTCCTGGCATCGCTACTAGGAGCTCCTGGCCTTACTACTAGTAACAAGAAGCTACTACTAGTAGTAAAAGCTCAGTCCACTGCGCCCAAAGGTCGCTGCAATTGCCTCGCCCTGAAAACACAGCGGGGCACAGCACACAAAGGATTGACAGGAAAAAAGAGAAAAACAACCGGTCAGTCTCATACGCTTGCCTTTTGAGGCCTCTTTAAAGGAAACATATTGAAGGAAACCTGGAACCCTGTTTTTTATCCTCTTATTTCCTTGAACTCACTGAAGGCCTCCAACCTGGCGCCGGGAACATGTCCTGCGTACCCAGGCCTCAGTCAAGCTGTTTATTATTTTTTTTTGGATGGCGGATCATCTTCCCTTTCCTTTGCTTCGAATACCTCGATTTTGTCTCTGAATGGATTGCACTTAAAATGGGTACAACGGACAATTTCAACATGTTTCAATCATCGTTTTCTGAGTTTGTACAATGGTTACTTTTCGTCCTGACTGTGTCGTGCTCTGCGGGTAAGATTGACACAAAGCATTTCCAATATGATCACCGACGTGGCTCCTCACATCTGTCATCTGAAACACAAGCCTGTTCCATTTGCAGCTGTTCTTGGACACATTGTCGATCATCTTCATGCCAATTGTTTGTGCATGCGCCACCAGCAACCTTTCGTGTTTCCATCACACCCAAAGCAGGCCGAGGCAGCTGCGATAATAGGTTTTGGCGCTGCAGGCCTTCTTCTGTAACACTTGTTGCATTTTGCTGGTTCATTCGAGCAACGGGGTTGTTACATGTCTGCAAAATATAGTTGACTAAATCATACTAAATCCAATGATGCAATTGTGGTGGGTGCGCCCACTTGCAAGAGTCGCTAACTTCAGTACAAGCAAGGCACCTCACCAAATTTTTTTTTATATATTTTAATCATCAGTAGCATGTCAAGGGGTTTAAGATGCTAGATGCAACATGCTCTAATAGAGCGTCCGCCGCACCCAGTCACCGATTACAAGCTATTCTGCTGGGGCTTGTTGAGCAAAGAACGCTGGAACTTCGAGCAAGGCGGACCAAGCAAGGGTGGAGCCAAAGATAGCCACAAGTCGCCACAGTGGCTCAAGCAGCGCCTGTTTTGCAAAAACAGGCCTATAGTCTGCCTATAGTGCACAACACAACTGATCTAATTGTAGCACTAGGAGCAAATACACCAGCGTAAACACCTATTTGGGGGCAGCACCATAGCAGCGGCACGGGCGTGCATGCTCCAAATTGCGCGGCCATACACATCTGGCTAAAGCGCAGACAGGCACCTCTTCCTATACTTGAAGTAAGAACTCCAATAGCGCCCCTTGAATTCAATACATCTTCCAGGCGGGACTTGGGTTGTGGGGACAGCAACTTAGCTTGCCAATTACACACAACAGCCAATTTCAGTTTTCTTGTTCTCCGTTGAGTGTGCCGAGTCTCGCCCCAATCTGCGAACTGCCAAGTGGAAACACAAAGAAACCGACTTGGTATGTTGCAACCTTGTCCTCGTGCTGATTTAATCAATTTATAGCAATGCTATGCGACTTACATGCGCTGCCAAGGCTGCCTCTAAAATAGTTGCGATCTGTATGAACGTCGACCAAACATCTGTCTAAGCTGGGAATCTCCTTGCTAGGCTATCATGGTTTTGGGCAACCCACAAGATGGGAGGAACCCAGGCCAAACAACACAGTTGACATTGAGAGGAAGTGCATGGGTTGATGCATGTTGACGCTCCCTGGAACAATTGATAGACTAGCTGACAGCGGATCCTGTTGCGACGCTGCCCATGTTGTCTCCTTTCATGTCGCTTCACTTTTGAACCCGCCCCTGTTGTATCCGAGGCCACAAGTGGCCACGAGAATCAGAAACTATAAGTACTGAGACGAGATAGACGTAGCATGACAGATTGAACAATGAAGTGGCTGGTGTCACCTCTGCAGTTGTGAAACCACGAGAATGTCATGAACCTGATGACTAGCCCAACCCCCTCCCTATTTCATTTTTTTGCAGTTGGGTCATTCCTTCGTTGCTTCTGTACTCTTACGCAGTGCATGTTTCACATGTTTCACAGACTCACAAGTCTCATACCTGAGAAGGGAGGGGACGAAAGAGAGCCTTTGTACCGATTGAGAAACTTTGAGGTCATGTCTTTGCATCTGCTTTTGTGGGGTGCCCTTATCCGTTGCACTTCAAACTTTTGGATCTTTTTGGAGTGTCAAAAGGGCGCCCCTTATTGATAATCAACATGACGAAGCTTGCCGATGTCGGGAACTTCAGTGCAGAGTGTCGGGAACACTGTCCCTTTGGCAGTTTGAAGCTTAGGGGTTCCTGACTGCATTCGGTCTCCAGTGTCCTGTCCTCTACCTGGACTCACGCACCTGGTCAGCTCACCTCAGCAGACCACTTTAATAATCTCTTGAGCACTTTATGATGCCAATGATGCACTACTCAGCGTCATTTGCATCCACACACCCTATCTCACTTCGTTCGCCCATCGAGGACTCAGCCAAGCCTATCGGCTGGCTTTCGTAGCAAAAGCGGCACTCGAAGCTTCAGACCAGAACTCATTTGTTTGCGCTCGTCCGCTCTTGTGGACTTGTCTCTACTTGGAACAGCTGCCACGGCGAGGCATCGTCCCCGAAGACAATGTTGTCAAAGCGATGACACTGTTGTGAACATGAGGCTTAAGAAGAGCTGTGGAACCAACAGTGTGCGTTCCAGAGGTTGCTTGGTAGATTTCTAGTACCATCTTGTACCCCTCCTCCCAAGATTAAATGATATTAAAGGCATCTTGTTTTTCCGAATGAAGATGAGGCCTTCGTGCGAAAGATGGCATCACAAGGGAATCAACGGCTCATCATGAGCACATCATCTGAAAATGATATCAACATCCAGCCGGCAAAGTCCTTCGCGTATTGAGCAGCCGTGTATCGCTCCATGCGCGATGCATTGTTGCTTCTAATTCTTAGTGACTTAGTGAGGAATGATTCGTTCAAGCTTAACCAGCAAAAGCTCTAAGTCTGTCTTTCGGAAGGCTGAGTTGAACAGCGATTAGTACTCATGCAAGACATGAATATGGGCTGTACTGTAAGCTTTGAGCCAAAAGCACGTAAACTGAGAAGTTCATTCCAGTGAGCCTCCTGGAGGAAACTTCATGTTGGGGCAAAACCGCTGACAGTATCTGACAGTGGTGGCTGGTTTCAATTCGCATCAAAACGCTAGATCTTACAGTCTTACAAACTTTCAGCGAGGCCGAGAGTCCAATTGAAGCTGAGTTCTTCATTCAAGCCTTGTGAAACTGTCATTGGAGACGTTGGAGACAAAAAGAAAACAGTCACATGATGACCTCATTTGCAGCTTGGTTCATGAGACTTTACGCGAACCAGCAAACACACACACACAGAGTGAAAATGATCGTGCCCAAAGGAAACTACACTAAAGCATAATGCTGCACTGCTCAGAAAAGTGCTTGGCACACGTGGTAACATTTGGAGTCCTTAGCTAGCCGTCATTTTTCGGGGCTACTGCTGGCACTGGCACCAACTGCAACTGACTGTACAAACACATGGAGAAAAATGAAGACAATGGAGAAAGAAATGGCACAATCCTACCATTGGTACCTAGGCACACTTCACTGTAACATCTCCAGCAAGAGCACCAACCCGAAGCTCCTCGATCGCCGGTTCCTCGAAACTCGAAACGTTGTGAAGTGCTCAAGTTTTACACGCGTGAGAACGTGAGCTGGTGTTCTGCCTGTCGGGCATGCTCATCAGATTGAAATGGCCACAGCCACAGCAGCCAGCTCCATTCTCCTTCATCCTGGAGAAACGCAAGTCTAGACAATTCGAAACTCAAACTCTTTGGACATCCTGTGCTGAAAATACATGTCGACACCAGTTTGCCAAACATGTCCAACAAAATCTAGGACCTACTACATAATATATAGAACTTCAAACATCTTGTGCCCAACGAAACGGAAGTGATTACAGTGAGAGGGAGCAAGAACTCTCGAGTCGTTATTGGGATTGCCATGCCTTCCGCGACAGTTTGAACCTCGGCTCGGCCGTCAGAATGAGCTTTAGCCTCCGATCCTGGGTGTGCCATAAAGTGTACCTGCAACATGCTGAGCTTGGCGCTGCTGCAGGAAGGTGGAGATGGTGCTGGAAGAGTTTAGCAGGGGAGCTGGTGCAAAGGTTGAATCTTCTTTGGGCGGTCTCACTGGAGCAGGTGCGAAAACCGCTTTGTCGAGGTCTTTGATCTGCGCCAACGTGGCTGGAGTGTGCCGAGGCGGTGCTCCGAAGATGAAACCCCACAAATGACCTGAAGGTGCGAAACACAAAACAAAACTTGACATAAGGATTCAATGAATTGATTCACACTTAAGACTTCAATGAATTGAGACACTTTTTGCACTACCCGAGCAAATACAAGTGGACAGATGTCAATAGTAGACCTCTCTCTGGAAAGGATTTTGGGTCCTAGCTCGATAATTTCCACAAACTTGACATTCTTCAAAAGCATGACTGACAAGCCACAGGCATTCCCAGGTGGCATGCTCTTAGACATGGTATGGGACCGTTTTGGAATATTTTGGATCGGAATCACACTTGACTCGAGACTGATCAACGCAGTCAAACCTCAAATGGATCCAGCTTTCTCTTTCGCCTGTTCTCAATCTGTGCTCATACTTGCTATGTTATGTTATACACAGCCAGGACAAAAGTTGGTATATAACAAACGTGTGAGTATATAACCTGCTCGTACAACCCTTTCCCCTTAGAATCCTACAGGGAACACAGGGGAATGCTGGCGGATGCACCCCCAAGAACATTTATAGTATTATAATTTAGTTCAGGGTGGAAACTAATCCGCCGGAATTCCATTGGGAAGAAGAAGTGATGCCAATGACATGCTGGAGTGAAGTTGTTACCAAACTTTCTTCCTCCTGAAGTATGTTACTCGCAAATACATAGGTGCCTCATGGTGTGCCTCAGGGTACTTGATTCTTCAACATGATACTGAAAACTGAAAAATGCACAAAAGTGGCTGGCTGGCAATCACGCACTTCATATGTGTGGGGCCGGGGGTGCGTTCTCGTGGGCGCTGAGGTAGAATAATGCAGGTCCAAACCCAACAATGAATCTATGCCCTTCTCCCATGCGAGTACCCTTGACATCATTTGTTTGTTTTATTTGAAACTCAAAATGCCAAGATGCTGGGCGATAGAAATGAAGGCAACCATGACCAAAGAATGGATTGTGCAGGCTCTGCTGTGGTAGTGGCTATGACTGGAGCTGGAGCTGGAGCCGGAGCTGGCGCTGCCAGCGGTGGTGCAGCTGGTGCTGGAGCCGGAGCCATATCAAGACCTAGCGGGGCTGGGGCCGAAGCCAGTGTGCCAGAGCGCTCAGCAGGCACCAATTCCACACCCGTTGTGTTGGCTCCAGATGAATTCTTGTCAGTGATGACAAGGCTTTCGATTGACACATTCCCTCCAAGAGCGCCCTGGCGCAAGTCACAATGACCAGAAAATACAATGGACCATATTGTCTGCAACATGGCCTCCACGACCTCTTCCTCAGACAAGTCCTGGCAGTCTCCAAAACAAATGACAAACTCAGTGGACAATACCATGAACCATGAACTCCGAACTCGCTGAAGACGTGGAGTCGAATCCGGCGTCGATATACACGAACATTCATGTTGTTTTTCTTAGGCATGGTGTGTCGCATGGCGTGTCACAGGGTCTGTCGGGTCTGCCGCTGTGCCTTGGGCTTCACATGATCTTGCACCAAGGCCTGGAGTTCGATTGACGTTCACCATTGTTCACTGCATCTCATTGCTTTTTGCAAAACTTCAAAACGTTTCAAATGTTTCCATTTCTTTGTTAAAACACTTGTTTCGAACCCTCAAGCAAACCTTTCGCACACGCAAAAAGCTTGTGAAAGCGCAATATGCGGCAATAGGACATTGGATGCTAACACAGCGCTGACGAAGGCCAAGAATAAGAGCGAATACAATCACAATGTGGCACATGCTGTGTAGAGATCGTGCTCTGAACATCAGCCCGAATGCCTGACTATCCCAAAACATGTTTGCCATTATTTGCCAAGTCAATCAAATTGATGCATCAACTCTTTAAATGTTGAGGGTGCTCTGCGCAGTCCAGTGCAAGATTGGAAGAGAGACGATGGATTGCACATGCAAAGTCCACAGAAACAATTGAAGGCCCATCCCTCAGAACCAATTGCACCTTCAAAGCAGGCTGTGTCTTGGCCGCGAAAGCAACTGATGCAGCCAAAATGCACCTTGATCAATTTCCAAAGACTTGAGTAAGAGTCAAATCAAAACTGGCTGGATCCACTCAAACCGCTCTACATTCCCCAAAATCATGATGTCAGCAGCGCTTAGGCACTTACCAGGCAGCTGCAAACTGCATTTGCCCTCAGGAACAGTTCTCATGTGTTGTTAAAAGATGTTAAAAGAGCTAGCAGCCAAAGTTGCTCTTCCACAGATTGACAGCTCATCTTACAAACAACACTGCGATGACTCACTTGAATAACCATAGCTAGGCATAAAAGCCTCCAAATATCAGAAGAACAAATCAAGCCGATTGAGACATCAGTTATAGATAGCAGATAGCCTATGCTTGGTCACATGATTGTAAGCACCGATTTTCTCTTCGCGAGGCCAAGCACCCAACGTTGTCATATCATCCACTCACGAATCCTACGATGGACATCCGTAGGAATTCGACCTTCTAAATGTATTCTCGATAGCGAGAAGCCGCTAGAATCAGTGTTGAATACACTATTCTATCAGGAGTTTTGAAGAGTTTTAGGCATGTACAAGCCACTACCAGTAGATTACTATTTGCTGCCTCAATGCTTCTCGGTCAGACTGAGCTGCTCTTGCTCTTTGTAAAGGTTCACTCACGTGCTTGTTCACAGGGCTCTAGGAATCGCTGGAGCAAGAACATCCAGTTTAAACAGTTTGAGATCACGACCACTACAAACAGCCATTACTGTACATGCCAACACCCTGTGACAAGAACATCCTTCACCTATCATGCAAAATGGTTGGCAAAAATCAGGGGGTACAAACGACGCAAACAAAGGAACTCTGCACTGCATCAAAAGCGCCGATTGGTGAGAACCTCGGGTAGGAAGCAGCTAAGAAAGAGGTGTGGATGGGTTATCTAGTCCACTACATTCAGCACATCGTACTGTGCTTTGGCCAAGAGGCTTTGGGGGCGACCAGGGACCATCCATACAGTGCCAAAGAAATAAAGACCGCAGACACCTGTGAGCAAAGTCCCAGCGCACCCGCAGTCAATCAGTGAGTGTACTCAGTGTACTCGTGCAATTGCGGTGTCATGAAATTGGATGTGTTCTTCCTCTGATGCTTGATAAGGTCTGGCTTTCTTAATATCAGTCTGCAGCAAATGGCAAGCCAAACATCAAATGAATCAAGATCGCACTGAATCCGCGATCAAAGTCGAAGGACAGGAAAGGCCAGTAGATCAAAGACCGAAGATTTCGAGTCTGGTCTGTAGACGAGTGAAACGCAACAAATACATACAAACAGTCTCTGACAAAAGTAGTTACAGTTGCTTAGACCACTCCCTGTTGGTAGGGTTGGCGCTTAGGGGTTTTGCCAACACCCCTTCGTGAGTAGTCTTCTCATGATCACATTTGGCAGAACCTCCTACGGCAAAACTACATTGCCTTGAACAGCCTAAGCACCCCTAATCGAAAATCCTGCTAAGAATCATGCCCGCAAAGCGTAGGTTGTTGGACCTGTCCTCAAGCAGCATGGTGGTTACAGTAACCCTTCGTTATATGTTGTAATTCCATGTGTGTGAAACAGGTGAACCAGTCCTAGCTGCTAAAGAGGATGCAATGTACAGAGCCGCAGCAGCATGAACACCACAATGCGCCGCAAATTGCCAGGCCTGTTCAACAACATTCAGTAGAACTTGCTTAGTCTTGGAGAACAGTGATGGTGATGCTGTTCTGAGCTCTATTGTTGAAAGTTGAAAGAAAGAGTAGAAAGCCACTTGTTTCTTGCAACATGGAGCACGGGGGGTGAATGGAGCTGAAAAGCCTCTTCCTGGCGCATCAACTTAGTTAAGTTTACTCAAAAATCTGGGAACCAAATCATTAGTGCCAGCGCTTCTTCAAGGAAGCTCCCGCCCAGTTTGAGGCGGGGGAGCTTCCTTGAAGAAGCATGGGCTGTCCTACCTTACTTAATTAAGCTAAAGAGGCTACAAGATGCTACAAGAACTTCTTAACTCCAAAGACTCCAAAGCTCCAAATTGAGGCTCTACCAACATTCACATCATTTGCATTCCTTCAGGCAAGAAAGTCTTTTGCACTTTCCGCCTCTGAAGAAGTCATTCTGGCACCGGCACCCTGATTGACAAAACTCAGTGTCATGTCAATGTTCAGAACAAAGTTGAGCTGACTGCCTCCTCTGGTGGAGCTGTTGACGTTGCCTGGCTTCATTGCACTTTGGTGTTGCATATCTTGAATTTGTTCATTCTCTGCTCTCCCTTCACTGTTCACCTTCGTGTCATTTACAGTATATAGAAGAGAAACAACTCCCGCCTCGCCCGCCTCAACTTCCATCAGGCTTGGAGACCTCGCGCCTGCCTACAAGTGATTTGGAAGTCTGTGAGGAAATGACAAACGTGACATGCACTGATGGACTAGCTACATAGTTTTGTGGGATTCTTGAAGCATCTTCTCCCCAACAAATTTGATGGAGACTTGTAGAAGATAGCGATCCCGATCCCTGATAAAGATGATAAAGACTTTTCAAGGACCTAAGCATCACCATTTCTGGAGTTGAATGAGCAATTGTTGGAAATAATCACCAGCATGTTAAGTTTCCCTAAAAATCTAGGAACCAAGACATTAGTGCGTGAGCTATCCTGCGTCCTAGTAGCGAACTAGTTTCTTCCTTACTTGATTGAGTAGGCGCCTACTTAATTAATAGGAGCTGGCTAAAAAGAAAAACACAAAAATAACCATCTTCATTAGAACACACCAGGCAACCTTCTGGCGACCTGGAACCCAAATGCTGGAACCACGAAACCTCTTGTTCCCCACCCAGATTTTCGGTGTCGACTGGTGACCGTCTTCGCGGCTCTCCAACTTAAGGTGGCTTACAGTTACAGTATTCATCTCTGTAGAGTTGCCATTGTGAATGCATGTTCTGTCAGCTTGCATGTCTTTAGCACTTGCACGGGGCTGTGGCACAGTTGAATACATTGGTTTCTGCTGCTTCCCGGGCATGGCCCTCCATCTCGGCCAGCTACACCTGGCTTTTGGCAACTTTTGCTTGGGGCATCTTCACAGTGAAATCAGGCTTTTGTTGCAGCTGGGTTGCCTCGGGTGCAGATTGCCATGAACCCAAACTGTTCAGCACTTTGCAAGAGACATTAATTATGCAACGCGTATCAACGCGTAACGCATTTCTTCTCTGTTCTTTAGTGTGCAGGTCATGCCCAGCACATTCTTTGCCGCTGTTCCCAAGAACTTGTATAGTCTTCTTGCGCACGGCACAGGGGCGCAAGGATGCGTGGGATTGCAGTACTCTCCGATATAATATAGCAACTTTAATTTTTCGTTTGAGACACTCAAACAAACAGTGGCAATTCCTCCACGACAAGTACAAAGTCACGTCCATCACAAGACGTTCAACTTGCAGGTTCTTAAGCGGTAAGCGCAGGGGAGGACCCAAAGAAGTTGTACATTGCCACACGCCCACCGGAGAAATTTGGTTTGCAGGAATATTGCATAAACATCCCAAATGCAACTATGTTTCTACTGTAGAAATGAACTATGTATCCAGGGCACTCAACTATATAACCTTCTCAAGTACACCGTCAAGTACACCAATCAATGGGCAAAAGTGTCAAATGAACCAGCGCTGTGGAAGGCAAAGCTCTAGCTAACCCTCTCATGAGATGAGACATCCCTATATCTATATTACATAGTATATACCTGAGAAGGGAGGCAAGTCATACTAGCCACAAGAAAACAAACTGTTGGGAGACGTGCATCTCACTTTCCTGAAGGAGCTCCAACCGCTTTTCACGTCCCGTTGTACCCGCTTTCTTGTCCTCGACATGAACTCCCACTGGTCGAAGATCGTTTAAATAGCCTCCTGAGCCCCTCATGATGCTAATGATGCACTCCTCGGCGTCAATTACATCACTTGCATCACAACACCTCTTTTTCGCTCTCCCTCACCAAGCTCTGGGTTCGCCCTACCCAAATTGTGCCACTATGGAACCACCCCCCCCACACCTTCGTTCGCCCAACAACTCCAGCCTAGTCTGTCGGCTGGCTTTCGTAATATACATGTTTGAATGTCAATTGGCCAGTAGTGTCAGCTCAGTGTGCGACACTTTGATGGGCAGATGAGTCCTGACTTGAAAAGGTGGCACATACTTTCTGACAAACATGTAAAGCTTCTCCCACTTGGATTTCTCCTGTGACCGAAATCCGGAGCCAAGAACGGTCGAGAAGAGTGAGAAAAAGCACAAAGTGAGGCCAGCCTCAACATGCCAAGCTTTAAAGCATCGTTCAAGCTGTGATAACCTCTATACTTGCAGGTGCATTGACATTGTCTCAAGATGATACTTCATCCTTGCAGCTTTCAAGTTGAATGCAAATGACAGCTGACCGTGGCAGTGAAAGCGGTCTGCTCGCGGTGTTGTTTGCTTGAGGACCGTGTCAATGAGTACAGCGATCAAAGCAGGATCTGCAAAGACTGAGCTGCAGCACCCAGATTGGGAGCTGAAGAGTCTCATTTGGCCTCAAGCTGCAAGAGGTCTCACCAACATATTATGTAACTGATGCCTCTCAAACAATCTCAAAACAGCAATGTTCTGGTCAACTATCCCTGTGTAGTCCCACAAGGATGCGGAAAAGGAAGCTTCACTAATGTGTGAACAGCCCTGCAACCCATAGTGTGGAATCGCGGCAATGCAAGCGTGTGGCGACACAGCCAGGCATTCGCAAATGAGCCAAACTGTATACCTCAGCAGGGATGGCAAAAGCAGTTCTGCAGCGGTGTTGCGGCTATGCACAGAACGGTATCAATGCTGGCCGAAGTTACGCCATGACAACCGCAGAGGTGAGAAGAGCACCTGAACACCCAATGAATGCTTGGACCATGCAAGGGCGATGCTAAGGTGATGCCATAATAAGACGATGGCCGTGCTCACACCAGTCTGTGATACTGACTATGAGCAAAGCGATAGACCTCAATCATCAAGTCTCTATACTGACGACCGTGACCACAGCAAAGCAGGAAGCATCACCAACAGCATCACCAAGACTTGGACAGCACCATAGCACATGCATTCACAGCTCTGCTACTTGCATCCTGCAAGAGTCATTTCATATACTCTAACCTTGATGCAAA